AGACAGCTCTGTTTACTTACCAAGGCTGGAAGGAGAAGAGAGAGCTACAAGTCATATTTGCTGGCTCTGTATATGCTATATACTGATCAACCCTTTAAAAGAGCCATTCACAGGCTTCGGGGAAAGAGAACAAGGTCACACCAGCAGGCAAGCCCAGTCTGGGAACCAGTACCACGCTAGGGCTGTTGCTGGACTGAAACAGCCAGATTCCAGCCCCTCTGGCACATGGGCTGACAAACAAGAAGTACCAATCCCCTCCCAAGTAACAGGTGTATCTGGAGAAACACAGGCTGTGATAGCTGTGGAAGTGAAATGCAATTGGATGCCTGTGGTGCTTTGGTGTTTCAATGACCTTGCAGGTGTAGAGCCAGTGCTCTGACCATGGGTTCAGAGGACAGTGATATGCAGTGTGGCATCTAGAGATATCTCCATCTGAAGGTTGTAAGTCTCATATCTTTTCCATTGTTTTGTTAGGTTGGGTTTTATTCTCTTTTGCTTTGTTTGATTATGTTAAATCCAATGGCGGGAGCAGCTATTTTAAAGATAGCAAGATATATTATGGTAGCCATTTTGGATTTACTATTGGCTTGTTTTGAAATATTTTATTACATTCATTATTTTGTTTTTATTGTTTCTATTCTATTCTGTTCTGTTTGATTTTTACTATGTCCGAAGTTATCTGCAGCTATTTTGAAGACATCAAAAGGCATTATGATAACTATTGTTGATTCTGTAATGTTCTGAAGTATTGTATCTCTTTCAGTGGTTTGTTTTGATTGGCTTTATTCTGTTTTACCCTCTTTAAAATAAAATAAAATAAATAAAATTTTAAAGTAGGTACTTTTGTCTCTATTTTAAAGGAAATCGAGGCTCTAAGACGCTAATGAAACTCGAACTACATAGTTAGAAAATCATGGACCAGATCAAATCCTAATGTCAATCTTTCTGACTCTCAAACTCCTATTCAAGATCAAAAGGTAAATCACAGACTGGGGAAAATTATCTACAACACTTACTATAATGGGTTAAGGTTTTTAACAATCAAGGATCAACAAAAGATATAGAAAGAGAAAAATAGGAACACAATGCCAAAAAATAGGGGTCAGGCATGATGGCACAGACCTGTAGTCCGAGCACTCAGGAGGCTGAGGAAGGTGGATTGCTGTGAATTCCAGGCCAGCCTGGGCTACAAAGTGAGTTTAAGACCAGCCTGAACTGCATAGTGAAACCCTGTCTCTAAAAGACAATAATAGAAAATAAAATAGAGGGACTGGGAATGTGGCTCATTGCTAGAGTTCTTGACTTGCATATACAAGGCCCTGGGTTCAATCCCTAGTACCACCAAATAAATAAAATAAGATAAAGTAAAATAAAATAGGGTTGGGGACAGCTCAGCAGCATAAGTGCCTGCCTGGAAAGCACAAGGTCCTGAGTTCAATTTCTGGTACCAAAATAAATAAAATAAAAGTATCAGGATAGCTGAGCATGGTGGCACACACCTGTAGTCCCAACATTTGGGAGAGTGAGGCCTGAGGAATGCTGTGAGTTCAAGACCAGCCTATACTACATAGTGAGACCCTGCCTCAAAATCAAAAGCAAAAACAAAATAAAGGAAAAAGCATCAATATATATATTCAAAGATACTTATTGTTTTATTGCTCATGTTGGAAAAATAGGAACTTATCAACTGTAGTTCCTGTTTGAATAAAATATATCTATATCTTATAATTAAAACTCATAGCTGCAAAAAGAAGTTTAAAAATTTAGAAAAAAACCCCAAGAAACAATAGTCAGGCATGGTGGCCCTTGACTATATAAATTAGCACTCTGGGAAGCTGAGGCAGGAAGATCACAATATACAGCCCAGTTGGACAACTTAGCAATTCAATGCGGCCTTGACTTAAGATAAAAAAAATTTTAAAATAATCTGGAGATGTAGCACAGTGTGAAGGCCCTGGTCTCAATCCCCAGTAGTGGGTAAGGTGGGGTTACTCATAATAAAATTTGAGAACAGTAAAATAATTTTCCAAATCAGGTAAAGCCCTAAAACCCTTAATCACTCCTTTGTCCCTTTTCTAAAACACAGATGATTGTTTGATCAACTGATTGATTGACTGATACAGGATCTTGCTGTGTAATTTAGGCCAGCCTTGATCTTACTATGTAGCCCAGAATGTCCTCAAACTCATGGTGATCCTCCTGCCTCAGCCTCCTTCGTGCTGAGATTACAGGTATATCATCATGCCCATCTGTCTTTTTCGTAAATTTACATTTTTCAGAAGTAGTGTTCCAAATTATGTTAAGTTACTAAAAGCCAGGCATAGTGGCACACTCCTATAATCTCAGCACTTGGGTGGCTGAGGCAGAAGAATCGTTTGCAAGTTTGAGACCAGCCTGTGCTACAAAGTAAGCTAAGGCATGAACTGCATGGCGAGACCCCAAAAGACAAATAAATAAATAAATAAATAGTAGCTTATAAAAATGCTTCATTGAATTTTCCTGTGATATTGACAAAATTTTCAAAGGAAATGGATATAAATTTTGACAGTTTAAAAAGGTATCAAAGCTAATTTGGTCTTGAAATCTTGGCATGTAAGTAAATTCTTTGGCAAAGTGGTTTATTGTTGTTGTTCGTTCATTTTTTGTTTTTTGACACAGGGTCTCACTCTGTAGTTCAGGCTGACCTTGAACTCATGGCAATTCTCTTGCCTCAGTCTCCAGAGCGCTAGAATTACAGGTGTGCACCACTGTGCCCAGCCTCTTGGCAAACTTTTTTAAAGTTTTTTTTAGCAAGTTTTCTGTTTTATTTTGTTTTGGTTTGGTTTTTTGGTTTTATTTAACTATTTATTTATACAAGGTCTCACTACATAGTCCAGGCTGAACTTGAACTCACTATGTATCCTAGGTTGGCCTCAAACTCACAGTGATCCTCCTGCCTCAGCCTCTCGAGTGCTGGAATTGCAAGTGTGCACCACTACTCCTAGCTAAAAGTTTTTTTTTTTTTTTTGTCTTTTTCATTTTTATCGGTACTGGGGATCGAACTCACGACCGCCTGCTTGCAAGGCAGGTGCTTATGCCGCTGAGCTAAATCCCCAGCCCCTAGCTAAAAGTTTGTGGGGTTTTTGTTTATTTTTTTGAGCAGAGTCTCTTATAGTCCAGTCTGGTCTTAAACTTCCTTTGTGGCCTGGGCTGGCCTCAAACTCACAGCAATCTCCTGTCTCAGCCTCCCAAGTGCTAGGATTATCTCCAATTAAATAAGGCTCCCTTGAGATGTTCAAGATTCTGGTTCTCCAGAGTTCCCCAAAGTATCCATAAAGATACTCAAGTTATAAAATTATGAATCTGTCCATGGGACCCGGAAAGCAAAATCACAGTTGTCTTCCAGTATCCCACAACATTATTGACAGCTCACATGATGCTGCTAAGGTGGACTTCAGGATCAGTGTACCTGTGTTATTATTCCCTATCACATCATAAACAAGCTGTATAGCTTAGAATCAAATCTCACATGCAGAGAAGGCAAGGCGTAGTGGTGTGCGTCTGTGATCCCAGCACTAGAGGGGGCTGAGGCAGGGGAATTGCTTCTTTTTTTTATCGGTACCAGGGATCGAACTCACGACTGCCTGCTTGCAAGGCAGGTGCTTATGCCACTGAGCTAAATCCCCAGCCCCTGGGGAATTGCTTCTAATTCAAGGACTGCCTGGGCTACAAAGTGAGTTCAAGGTCAGCCTGAGCTACAGAGTGAGACCCTGTCTCAAAACAAACAAATAAAAAATGTAGAAAAAGTCTGAGAACTTAGCTGGTCCAACCATTCCTGTAAATTTTTTTGATATAGAGGCTCACTACATAGTTCAGGCTGGCCTTGAACTCACTATGTAGCCCAAACTAGCCTTGAACTCATGGTAATTCTGCCTCAGCCTCCAGAGTGGTGCAATTACAGCCATGTGCCACCATGCTCAGCTCACTTAGGTAAATTTTAAGCACTTCCTACAATACTTTGTATTCTACTGAACCTTATTTCTTCTGGGGAAAAAAAGCATAGCTGTGAGAAAATTCTCCTGTAAATGGAATTTAAATATTTTTCTATTTTGAAATCTACCCCTGTTCTCATCACTTGGTTATCTGTAGAATAGAGTGACTATTTCAATTCCAGCATCTGGGAGGTAAGGCAGGAAAACTACAAGTTCTTGAGTTATATAGTGAGATGCTGTCTCAAAACAAAAACAAAATAAAAGTTGAGGGCTGGGAATGCTGTTCAGAGACAGGCTGCTTGCCTAGTATAAACTAGCACATCGAAGGAAAAAATCATTAAAAAAAAGTTAAAAAGCCCTGGGGAAACTAAGGCAGGAGTATCACCACATGTTTGAGGTTAGCCTGGACTATATAGTGAGTTCAAAGCCAACCTAAACTGCATAGGGAGATCATGTCTTGAAAGGAAGGAAGGAAGGAAAGAAAGAAAGAAAAAAACAGAGAGAGAAAGAGAGTTCCCTGACTTACTCTATCACACATTAATGTATCAGCAGGGAAAATGTAATGTATTCTGCCAGGTGTGGTGGTACACATTTATAATCCCAGTTACATAGAAGGCCAAGGAAGAAAGATCATAAATTCAAGATCAGCATAGGCAACTGAGCAAGACCTTGTCTCTAAATAAAAATAAATAAATAAATAGGGCTGGGTGCGTAGTCCAGGGTTAGGTCTCCAGAACCCAGGGGAGAAATAAAATGCTGTGTCCTTTTTAGGTATTTATTTGTAGTGCATCTTTTACTCTCTGGTGTTAGGAAAATATAGTCAAGGATGCAAGAGTCGAGAATTCCAAAATTCAGAACGTAAGTGTATTTTCTACCCTACTCTTTCTCACCCTGTTAAGGTTTTCCTCATCTCCACCACAAGCAGACAGTTTTTGTAACACCGCTGGAGTTCTCCATATGGCAAAGCCAGGCTTGGGATGAGCAGCCTGGCTCTGCTGGGAAGAGTCTATTCTCAGTGGAAGCTGCTTCTTACCTCCAGGCCTCACTGGGCTGACTCAGGGTTTTATATGCAACCTGGATCTCCAGGAAATGGCTCTGGGGTCCTCTGTCTGCTGCCAGTTGTGATCAGGGTGGCAGACCTTCACTAGCTCTCGGTAACACCTATATATTTCTTCATTTGTTGCCCTCTCCAAAAGGTCCAAAACCTTAGAGAAACAGAAGTCAGCAAATTAAACTGGGTGTTTAAACTGGTGGCATACGACTGTAATCTCAGCACTTGGGAGGCTGAGTCACGAAGACTGTGTGGATTGAGGCCAGCCTGAGCTACACAGTGAGCTCAAGACCAACATGAACAACATAGTGAGACCGTCTCAAAAAAAAAAAAAAAAAATTTAAAAACTCAACAAATTTTGTCAAGGTACTTGGGTCTCTTCCTGCTCCTTTGCTAAATCAGGCCATTAGTTTCTCTGGAATAGCCCAGCAATTTATTCTTTTGAGCCAGGAGTGTAGCTCAGTGACAGAGCACTTGTCTAGCAGAAGCAAAGGCCTGAGTTTAATCTCCATTACCAGGAAAAGAAAAGAAAAATTCCAATGGACAAGTCCAGGATTCATATAAGGATCAGAATTTGCCTTTAATCACAACTGTACATTTTATTCCTTTTTTTTTTTTAAAGGGGTCTCATTATATAGCTCAGGCTGACTTGGAACTCATTATGTAGCTGCTGGCCTTGAACACTGATTTTACAATTGTCTATCCTAAAACTTTATATCCCAACCTCTCCCTACAGAAGTATGTATATGTCTACCAAAAATGTGTACAAGAATATTTATAGTTTTATTCCAAAAAAATAGGAGCTTTATTAATAATTGTTCTAAACCAAAATTTTTTTGAGACAAGGTCTTGCTATGTAGCTCAGGCTGGCCTTGAACTCACTATATGGCCCATTACAGGTGTGTGCCATGCTCAGCCAATATTCCCAAAATAGAAACAACCCAAATACTAGTGAGAGGAATAAATTGTGGTATTGTCCTTAAGTAGGATACTATACAACAATGAAAACAAACTATTTACAATTGTATGTAAATATGAGTAAATCTTACAGCTTAAATGAAAGACACACGCTGGGATTTAGCTCAGTGGCATAAGCACCTGTCTTGCAAGCAGGCAGTCAAGAGTTTGATCCCCAGTACTGATAAAAAAAAAAAAAGCAAGACACAGATACAAAAGTATTACGTGTTGCTGGGCATAATGGTGCATACTGGTAGGCTGAGGCAGGAGGATCACCATGAATTTGAGGCCAGCTTGGGCTACAAAGTGAGTTGAAGACCAGCTTGACTACATAGCAAGACCCTGTCTCAAAAAACCTACCAACCAGGCAAACAAATATATATATATTCCACTTACAGTTTTTGCTGTTCAAGAATGGACAAAACTGGAGCAAGGCCCGGGTTAAATCCCTAACACTAGGAAAAAAATTTAAAAAGTAGAATGGGCAAAACTAATTTATAGTGATAGGCTGGGTCTGGGAAATCTCATCCGTAGAGTGATCCCCATAGCACGTGTGAGATCTTAGGTTTATTATCCAGCACAAACACAGACACTCAATCTACAGTGATAGAAGTCCAAATAGAGGTTACCTCTGAGGGGCTTATAGAAGGAACATGAAAGAAGCTTCTCAGTGCTGGAAATGTTTCATACCTTGTTCTGAGAGATGAACACATAAAACTGGTGCACGTGTAGGGACATCTCAATACCCATACACATATATTTCTCCCTTTCACCATCAGTGTCTCTGTACTTCACCCATTGCATGCAGAAGCATGAAGAGGCCAGGACTTGCTTCCGGGCCCTGGCCAGTAGACATGAGAATGGTACTTCCGTGTGTGGGGCACCAGCTGCAAAAAGGCACACCCTAACCCAGGAGCTGTTCCAGGAAGCAAGGAGGGGGAACGAAGCTTCACCTAAGGAGCCAGTTAATGCTTCTATGTCTGAAAGCTGTGAAGAGACTCAGAACTTCTCCTATTCCTGGAAGTAGCTGCTGTGAAGGTCTGGATCCCTGACCAGGAGTCACCAGATCCAAAATGGCAGAAGGAGGACAGATGTGATGAGGTGATCAGGAAGGGGGAAGAAGCTGAGTCAACTCAAGAAGGTTTCTGCTACATAGTTGAGGGTGGCTGTGTTCCACAGGGCACTGAATGCTAGCGGGCCTGTGAAATTGATGCAAGCCAAGCCCAGCCAGTAGAGCTGCACACTGAGTCTCTGACTCCGCTGAGGATTTGTATCGGTGGTGTTTCTGGTCTATGATGCTGGCAGCCAAGCCGATGAGCAGAATAGCTATGGGGCAGCCATAGTAGATAGGGAAAGTAAGGAATGCCACACCTAGAGCGCTGTTAAAGTCTGAGATCTGATTGCCAGCAGCAGCCACTGGCATGAGTGCTAAGTCTATTGACAGTGGGAGGCTTACAGTGTAGAAGCTGGCCATGGGAGAAAGACTAATCAGAGCCACAAGGCCAAAATAGATGCCCACTATCATCTGAGCTGCAAATCAAATGGGATTTGGGGTAGGAGGTCTCTCTCCTGCTTCTGCCTCTGGGCCTGTCAAGATTTCAGGACTTTAGCTACAAATTGTGAGAGCTTCCAGAACTCCCAGAGCCAACCTAGCCCATCATCCTCGAGGGTAAGCATCCACAGCAGGGCATGGCTGCCCTCTCCAGGTATAGGTGGTGGAGGCCAAAAGGGCCCTCTACAGCCCAGAGACCATAGATCACCAAGAGCCCCATAGCCATTGTCTAGGCAGGAGCCTCAGAACAAGTTCAGTGGCACTTGACCTTGCTCAAAGTAAAGAAATCTTAGGGTCCTCAGTGAGAATCATGCCCAGCATATCCCCAGGGTTTTCCTTAGACTCTAAGATATGGGAAAAAAACTAGAATTTTAAGACTTATATTCAAGTCCCAACACAGTAACCATTGCCCCTTCTAATAAAAGTCAAGTCCAGATCTACCTGAGGTTCACTGAAATGCTAGTTGGCCCAAACTCTCTCATTCCAGCACCTCAGTTCTGTTCTTCACAATTATACTGAATTCAGATTTAGGAAAGAACTTTTAAAATCTTTCATCTGGGAAACTAACTCAGTGCAGGGAGTTTACATTTCAGAACTCCCCTGACACCGACCCTGAACGATTCATAGGGGAATGACAGGGAAAGGCTGAGTAGCATCCCCCTTCCAAGGTTAGAAAACATTTTGAAAGAGCCCAGTCCTGCCCCAACCCTTTAACTCCTTACACGGCTGCTCTCAGTCACCTGACCCAGGTTTTAGTCCTTTTCCAGCTTTCTCATCTCTCCAGGCCATGAAATTTTACAAGTCAAACTCGAAAGGCATCCTGAGGTCCCTCCACTTAAACATTCTGGAAAATGTTTTGATCTAGACCTCAGCGACCCCCAACTCAACTCTCTCCTTCTGAGGCAGACTTGGAAAAGCCTCTTCAAAGCAGCTGGACAGATCCTCAGAACCAGACGCCACTGGAGCCAGCCCTCCCCGCCCTCTGTGAGGCGCAGATGTGGCCCGGCCAGGCCAGAGCCCCGGGAAAGCGGCCGCACCTGGCGCTTGGCTCCCGGAACGCAGGAGTGGGGGGAGCCCTCGCCTTTAACCACGAGGCCCCCCACACTTAAGTGGGCTTCCATCAAGTGGACTTTGCTCTCTGAGTCTGCTGTGTGATGGAAGTCAGGCCTCTGCGGCGCAGGCCCGGCGGTATCACATCCCGCCCTGTCCCTGTAGACCGTGCTCTCCGCGAGCCTAGCTCCAAGGCGGGTGAACCCCTCAGCTCCTGGGGCTGCCATCACACTCTGGCCAAGCGCGCCTCCTGCAGTGAGACACTGTGACCGCCAGATAGCGGTGCCGAGTACTGAAGAGTGAGCCCGGCAGAGTGCCAGGCTCCCCTAGTCGCCAGGCCCCGACACAGCATCCCAGAGAGTTCCTATCCGGAGGCTGACCCGCGAGAGCAAGGTTGCCGTTCCAGCTGTGGACCTACAATTAAGGAAAAAAGTTTTTGATTGCCTCTTCGTACCTCTACAAATGAGAGGTCGCACTGTTTCTGTGTCTGCACTTGGTTGCTTTTCCAGAAGTCAGGTGGTCCCAGTTCCACTTCCTAAAGCAGAGACACCCACCGACAGGAAGTAGGGAGGGACCCTCCACCCAGAGTTTGCCTCAATGCCCTGCCTCGGGCCTTCCAGTGAGGGGACACCATATCTCGACCTGAGCCTGAACAGCCCTTGAATCCATTATTCGAGGCTGCAATCTTGGGTTCAGTCTGTGACCTTGGCTAAGTCACGCGCTTCTTGGGCTTCAGTTTCTTCCACTGCAGGGGAAAGGCTTGGGGCTTCACGATCTCCCAGTCTAGACTTGAGGGCGGGGTGAGCCCAGTGGGCCTCAACCGGGTCCTCTCCCCGCAGTAAGTAGCGTGCGGGTGTTGCTTTCAAATCCTCCGCCCCAGTCCCTACCCTCGCAGGAGAGGAAGAGCGGCTCCAGACCAGGCCTGGTCCAGCCTGCAGAGGGCCCTAGACTGGCAGGGGCCGCCGAGCGATGCTCCAGCCGCGGGCTCGGGGTGGGGGCGAGAGGGGCGCTGAATAATGAATGAGACTTAATTGGGCCCGCAATGCGCGGCGGCGCGCTAAGCTTGGCAAATAGCGCGGGCAGCAGCCGCGGCCCTAGACAAACAAACTAGCTCTGCGCACGGGGAGCGGAATGGGCACCGTGGCGGCGGAAGGGGGAGAGGAGGGCAGAGCCAGGCCGCCTGGGCCCGGGGCGCAGCGCGCAACTGGCCGCGGGGAGGGCAGCGCTGGCGTCGCAGAGCGGGTTGGAGGGGCTCAGGGCTCATCTCTGCCCCTGAGGAGCCTCGGGGAGAGAGCGAAGCGACTGTGTGAGGAAAACCTAGGGCCCAAAGGCAATATAAGCGCGACAAAAAAGATGGAGAAACGAGTGGAGGGCGGAGGAGAGGGCGAAGCGAGCGAGAAAAAGCGCACCCGGGGAGGGGCAGCGCGGGTGGGGAGCGGGAGAAGAGCTGTGGCCGAGAGGAAACGAAAGAGCGATGGAGTAACAAGCGAATGGGGGCGCGAGCGGCCAGGAGAAGGGGAATGGGAGAAGAGTGAAGGAGAAGGATGGGAGGTGACCAGAATGAGAACCAGGGGGCGGCGGGCGGGTGCGAGACGCCCCTGCCCGCGCCTCGCCCCGCTGCGCTCCCGCCCTAGAGTTCTCTCCAGCCACCCGCACTCACTTTGTCACAATTACGGGGCCGTCACTCGGCCCGGATTGTTTTCCCCAAATTGTTGCTCTATAAACTGGTGCGGGGGGGCAGGTGGGGAGATCTGACAAGCTGAGCACGGGGGGAGGGTCTGAGCGGTAGAGGGGGGTGCACTGGTGTATTTACCCGCCACTGGACCCGGGTTGGCTGGGTAAAAATACAGAGACCCGTACGAGAATTCTGGTTGTCCCCCTAGCCGTATGGCTGAGCTCGCTTTTCACATTCTTGGTCCCTCTTGGCCTCTGCTGCCTTGATTTCCCCAGCAGAGCGCGACAAGGACTGGAGGCCCAGGGCTGAGGCTGGTCTAGCTGCGGCCGGAACTTTCACGTTTACCCCATTCTCTCCTGGTCTTTCCGACCTGGAAATCTGGGTTCATCCTGCAGCTCTGCCAGGCCTTCAGCTCCGCTAGGTCTGGGTCGCTTTCGGCCCCGCGCTCCTTAACGTTCCAGGCCACCTTGCTGCCCCTCAATTCTGCAAACATCTGTTGCGCACCCACCGAGCGCCAAAGCTGCGCCAACCTCTCCAGTTGCCTCGGGCGCCACCCGCCCCTTCCCGGCCGGCCCGGCCTGTCGGCTCCGTGACAGCCGCTGCTGAAGCCTGGGCCCCGCGGGAGCGGCCTGAGAGGAGCCGCCGCATGGCTGGCTCCGACACCGACCTCCCTGGCGGCTTCAGGGGCAACGGAGGGTGGTGGCCGCTGAAGCGAGACCAGAGCGGGCCGGGGGAGTTGGCAGGGCTGGGCGGGGGCGGGGGGAGGCCCGGGGCGGGCTTCTCTCCGGGTCTCTGAAGGCTGCTGTTTTTTTTCTGTAGCCTTCGGGTCCCGCCCGGGTCCGACCCCGCCCGGCTCCCCGCGCCCCCTCCCCCAGTCCCGGTGATTTACACGCGAGCTCCGCGCAGCGGCCGCTTCCCAATCAGGAATATCGACCCCGGGCGGGGCCCTCGGTCCGCATCGATCCCTCAAAGGCTCGGGATTTAAAAATGTCAAATTTGCCTTTTCCAGGCAGGCAGAGGGGGTGGGGGCAGGAGGAGGGCCGTTTAGAGTGGGGACGGGCAGCGGGCATCGACCAGGCGTGCTTGTGCCCAGAATGAGAAGCGATTCGGGCGTGCCGGGCCCTAAAGTGATCTGGCCATTTTTCGGTTCACCACCGCTTATCTAAAGAGGCAAGAAGGAAGGCCATGCTCCCTCTGCCATAGTCCCCATGGACATCCTTGTTATACTGGGGTATTCCCAGAAGGTGGAGCCCCAAGAGGAGCAAAGACTCCCCCAAAATGTAGGGAAACAAAATTGGAAAAGATCTCTAAAACTGAAAACATGGAGGCACCAAGATAGGGTGAAGAGACAAAGGTATAAGAAATCCAAGGTTAACCCAGCTCTCAGAGCAAAGGCAAATGGAAGGTGCCTTAAAAAAACCTTTAAAAACACGCTATATAAAACAAAGGTCAGAGACCTAGAGTTGTTTCAACTCTGTTCTCTAGCCCCAAGAGATTCAGACCTCAGAATGTGACCAGGCTTAACTTCCTGACGGTTTGACAATGAAGGAAGAGAGTGGAAGCAAAGCCAGGTGAAGGTGGAGAGGTACCAGGGAGAGGAATTATAACTCTAGAAATTAACTGAACATGAAACCCAAAAGATCAGGGTCCCAGCAGCTGCTACTCGACCTAAATGAGGTGCACTGTCTTGGAGAACTCAAGGTCTGCCCCCTTTCCTTCCTGAGCACCAGACAGGTGTCTGTTCAACATCCACCTTCTTTGGAGACGAGGTGGCTGGGGGTCACATCTTATATTAGGGACTGTGTGCATTCAGCTATGAATTTTGTGGGTAATCACTCCCCCCACCCCACGATTTCACACTTGATCTTGGAGAGGAGGGGTAAAGCTACTACTTTCTGATGCTTGGGAAGTGGTAGGAGGGGCAGTTGTCCTGACCAGCGCTCTCACAGTTAACTTATATCACATGTCCCTCAGTCACATAGTACTTCAGCTGTCACTGTGTGCACTGCCATTTCCTCTAGAACTGGAGACAGACCTGACAGCAAGCTGGGAGGGGAGCTGACACTGAGGAAGGGATGGTGGCTCATCCTCAGAAATTGGAAGCTCACACATCCACAGACAAAATCAGGCCTTGACACATCCCTGCCTGCCACATGGTCAATGATCCTAACGTGGACACAATTAGCAATTGGGATTAGCAATTCCTGTTACAAGCATTATTTCTGTGTGAACAGTCACAAAATGTCTCCGAGCTCATGCCCAGGAGCCTAGTTTCAAGGCCTAGCTATATCCCTTCTAGACATCTCACACTTTAATTGCTTAACCTTAGGAGAGGGTTTATGTCCCCCGTCCCTACTTCTCTAATTCTGCAACCAAGGCAAGCTTCAACGACTGGAAGGCTGAGCGCAAGAAAGTCAAGTACCAGGGTCAAGGTGAAGAACCGAGAGCAGACAGAGGTGGGAATGTTAAACGCTCTCTTATTCCCCTTCCTGTTACCCCAC